ACCTGTGTGCTCTTGGGTCTACCTTACCCGTACAGCAAGAAAAATGGTCTGTAAAGACCTCATTTCTTATCATCCAAGTAGAGGATAAGCATGTGGCTTAAGCACAGCCAATGTGATGCAACATTCTTTTTTTTTTTTTTGGTTTTTTGAGACAGGGTTTCTCTGAGTATCTTTGCGCCTTTCCTGGAGCTCACTTGTTAGCCCAGGCTGGCCTTGAACTCACAGAGATCCGCCTGGCTCTTCCTCCCAAGTGCTGGGACTAAAGGGCTTGCTTATGTTTTTGAAATTTAATGTAGATCAATGTTTTTTTAAATATATATCTGTGTGAGTGTGTTGCTAATTATTTCCTAAGGATTTGTGATTGTGTGTTGTATAGTTTGAGGCAGGTACATGAGAGAGGCATTTCAAAAACAGTTTCTCTAATGTTTATCACCAATAAATCTTCCTAGTTTATAGATTAAGTTAAAAGACTTGCTGAAGGCCAAAAATTTAGTAGAAGGTAGATAAAAATGGGATTTAGTCATCGTAGGTCCTAATCCTTGGATTTAAAAATTATAGTTTCTGATTTTTTCTTTTAAACTTAGTTTTAATTCACAGTGATACTTTTTGAATTTTACATAAGGATGTGGTTTCTTGAGGTCAAACAATGATAGCAACATCCACCAAATATTTATTGATTGGCAATTTGTGCTATGTCTTAAGTTTTATTCAACTTGTCTTGAGATTCTTACAGAGTAGAAGATCCATGATAGAATTAAGAAGTATAATATAAGACCATATAAATCTTATGGGAACATAAACCCTGGATTTATAAATCTGTACTGAGCAGGTTATAAGAGGTATAAATGAATGACAAAGTTTGCTGCAGCAGGAGGTCTGTGTGAAAGGGAGATTGGATTTGGAGGGTAGGAGGGAGAGGTGAAGATATGTAGTTATCTGTTTCCCTGGCTTGTGAAGCCAGAGTGTTCCCAGGGAATGTGTGTTAGTGTTGTCGACTGGGACAATGGGATAAGCAGATGGATGATTTGGAGGAGAAGTGTACATGATCCTTTGGTTATGGGTAAGGAGAGGAAAGGAAGACTACACTGGGTGTTCTGCTACAGAGCTGAGGATGAGACTGGAGGACTGGATTTAGAGAGGAGGGAAAGGTGAAGATCTGCGCTTATCTTGCCTTCCTCCCTTCTTAATCTCATGAAGTTTACAGAATCCGGCATCACTATTGAAAACTTCATATAATAAATGGATAAATAATAAACTTTCTGGTTGTTCTCAGTTTGGGTCCTAATTCACAGCCCCTGCCAAATGTAATTTAGTTATGATAAAACTTCATTTAGAAAGCTAGTTTTCAGTGTATTTTCTTCACATGGAGAAATGATAGATATATTTTCAGGCAATACCATATATTGTTCAGTCATAGTGTTACTTATAAAGATGTCTTTACATTGAAAAATAAAGAATTTTCCGTCTTATTTGTTGTCAAAACCTCTCATCAATTAAATCAATATTTCAAAAAAAATAGAGAATAAGTCAATCAAAGCAAAATATTATCTTATATATTATTCTTTTATTCATTCCATTTTGGTTAATTTTTCTAGCACTTTCAAGTGCTTTCTTAGATATGCAGCTGACAAGGATGCAATTTACTTGTTTAGAATTTTGGCAGCCCTTCCTTACTTGCTTTAACTTTCTTGTTGATGTGCTAATGAGCTGTGAAAAGGCCAAATGGAAGATAAATAAGACCTTCAGATAATCCATACTCTGATAAACTGTTCACATGATAATTGACAGTTGATAGTTCTTCTAGGACTGAGGGAAATTAAGCAGAGTTGGCTGAGTGCATGGAACAACCTGAGTTAATAAAGTTATAAAAGAAATTTACAGGGAAATTTCAATCCTTTCATACAAATGTCATTTGTGTGCCTTCAGGTATAGGCACAATTTGATTATCAGAAAAGCTTTATAGGTCAGATTGTGGTGTGTCCTAGCATTTCTAAATCACAAGATTCTAAATATAATAGTTACGATTTCTCTTCTGCCTGAATTTCATTTCCTTTTCTGTCTATGCTTTTTTTCCAAAGCAGAACCAACATATCTCTCTGTTATTTTATGCTTAATTTATATGGCATCTTCAAGGTGTTAAGATATTCAGTTGTTGCCTATGTTTAATATTTGAAGTCTAGTTCATTGTAGCTATTCACCAATGTCATAGTAATTATCTTTCCTTACTTACAAAGTATGAGCTCATCCCACTGTATTAAGTACTTTAAACAATAGAACGAATATTCATTTTTATAGGATATTTTTAGGATTATACTAATCAGCAGTGTGAAACTTATTCAAAATAAAATGTATTTTTAAAATATACTGAAGCCTTTAAAACGTATTATGTATTATGTCATCGTGGAAACAAACACAGGAATCCTGTGAATTTCAATTTCTGTTTTCCAAAGTAGATCAAATAAATTGAAATATTCTAAGCAACATGTTTTAAATTTAGACATATATTCCAGGCACAATTGTTTGTTAATAAAAACTCTAGTGATATTGTTGGTATATACTTTGTATGATCATCATTTTATATACCAATTTAAAATTTTAAGTGAATGAGTAAATTTAATATCATTCTGCTAAAGGAGCTCATAATGGCATTTTTAAAAATCCTGTGAACAAGTTTCTATTGAGAATGCTAAAGCTATACACTAAACCAATCATCCTATAAATACAAAAAAATGGTAACAGAGAGGTATATGGATGAGAGTTCTTGATGAATCAATGAATATTATCAACCATTGTATGAACGTGAGAGAGAAAATGGTCACATCACACAATTATGACACATTGTATTTTGATTTTAGGGTACTATTTTCCAAACCTAACAATTCCTGTGAAATAATTCTTCCTTTTGAGTTTGTGAAAATAAATTTTTATTAAAAAGTTAAATTTAAAAGCTTCTTTCAGAGATACTGTGTCCTGCACTCATCTCTATTTTTATTAGCTTTATGACCTTAGACTTTAGTCTAACCCCTATCAATCAGGCTTCCATATTGTAAAATGTAGGCGATTATTGTTTCTTATGTTGCAATGTTAAATTAAATGATTTATTTACATGCATATACCACACCTTACAAATAATAAACACTTTGAGGCATTTTATCTCTCTTCTGGCTGTAAATTTTGTAGATGTGATGAGCATAAAAACGAACAATTATTGGAGCATAGTCTACAAAGCCGTAACCAAGAAGGTACACAAATTATCTACTGATGTCTTACACTACTTACTTATATCAATATTTGAGAGTTTATCAACTTTAAAACTTTTAATAGTATATATTTTACATAAATGAGAACAATCAAAATATTACCACTTCATTCATGATCAAAGTTAAAGTGTAACAAGAATTTCACAATAATTTTAAAATGTTTTAACACATATATACTTTCAATATTAAGGGGTTCTCTGTGATATTAATATATCATGTCTTGATCAAATTTGATTTTTTTATTCACAACTCACCTTCCCAAACTATATTAACCACCATTCTGTATCTATTAAACTTGTATAGACTTCTACATATGAAAAAGTACATACAGAATTTGTAATTGTTCTCTCTCTCTCTCTCTCTCTCTCTCTCTCTCTCTCTCTCTCTCTCTCTCTCTCTTTCTCTCCATATATAATGGTCTCAAGGTCCATCAATACTTCCGAAAAAAATCACAGAATTTTATTATTTTTTGACTATATTAGAAACTTTTGCTTTCCTAAAATTTGATCAAAGGCTACTTAAAGAAGACTTTATTTTGGCTCACAGTTCCTAAAGGCTAAATATCTCTAACAGTTGGTAATGTGCGGCTTCAAGAACAGGAGCTGAGAGTTAACATCTTAGTTGCATACTGTAAGCAGAGAGAGCAAACTGGAAGTGGGACAAGACTATAAATTCCCAAAGCCTTCCCTCAGTGACACACTTTTAGCACATCATCAATGTCTGAGTGTTCATATAAGTGTTCAAATACATGAGCGTATTGGAGAAATTATCCATTCAAACCACAATACTGAATAATACTTCATTATAAGTCCAAAACTTGTATATATTTTAAATTCATTTATGTTTTAATAGGCACCTAGACTGACTTTGCCTTACACATTATAAATAGTCCTACAATATACATCGCATTATCATGTCTGGATTCATGACCTACAACAGCTAGGGTCTGGGTTGATATCTGTGATTTCTGATACCACCGAAGGCAGTGTAAATACCTGAGGTCTGGGCCATCACCTGACACCAGGTGGGGATCTGAGGGTCATGCTGCAGCTGAGACCATAGAGATCTGAGTGGCTTGTGCTCTCACCTGGGACCATGGTGCCATCTAAGCCAGGACTGTTGCCGAAGGCCATGTCTGGGTCTGTGGTTCTACCGCAGCCAGGATCTGTATTGAAGTCTGTGGCTTCTGATATCATCAAGGCCATGCCGATGCCAGGGATCAGGGCTGCCACCTGGGGCCTTGTTTGGACCTGAGGGCCATGCTACCATGGGGGCCATTCTGATCTGATTGCCGTGACCTGCCACATGGGGCCGTGGTGACATCTGAGCCTGGGCTGCTGATGGGAGCCATGTCGGAGTCTGTGGCCCAGTGGAAGCCAGGGTCTGTGTTGATGTCCATGGCTCCTCTCACCACCAAGGGCAGTGTCCAGTCAGTCATCTGAAACCATGTTAATATCAGAGGGCCATGCTGCCGCCAGGGCCATACTTATCTGAGTGGCTTGTGTTACTACCAGGGCCATTGTGACATCCAGCCTGAGCTGCTGCTGAGGGTCATGTCTGGGTCTATGGGTCCTGCTGCAGTGGGGGTCTGTATTGGTGTCCATGGCCTTTGTTATCATGTTACCACAAGGGGTCATAGGAACAATACATGTTGAAATCTGAGGGCTGTGCTGAGCTGGACCCATGCCTCACTGGCCTTGTGATAGCAGGATAATGCAGCAGGAGAGCTCCCCCCCTCCCCGACACACACACACACACACACACACACACACACACACACACACACACACGCCTCCACACTCGGGGAAGATGGTCCTACCCTTCACCAAGGGTGTGCCCCACACTTGGGCAGCCCACTAGAGCAAACCCTGTTATCAGGGATGCAGGTGAGCCAGCCCTGAGGGCTGGAGAGCAGCAGACCTGGCCCTGCTCTAAGTACCTCATCTGCCATATGATGATGTGGGTGAGGGAAAACTGTCGTATCCCCTCTCCCCACCTCTTGCTACCTGTAACACTGAGAGAAATAGTCCCAGGATCACAAGAGTTGGAGAACTAGCCCTGCCTTTCACCCCCTCACCAGCTGTAGCACAAGGGAGATTGGCATCTGTACCTTGTCTCTGCAGTACATGGGACCTGACCTTGTTGATGGTGGCACCCTGGCAGTGTGAGAGAAGGAGAGCTGCTGATCCTCGAGCTCCTTTCTCCTTGTATGCTCCCTAAAGCAATCAGGAGGGAGGGCACTGCACCTTGCCTGGGCAAGACAGTGGAGCTGGTTCTGGTGATGTGAGTGTGGTTGAGCTGGACTCAAGGGCCTGAGAGCAGGAGAACTGGACCGGCTCATTGATGCAGGCTGCATTAATTAGGTGGATTGGCCTAGGCAGTACTGGAGAGCTCTCCAGGGTGGTTAAGATGGGGGAAAGCTGACAGGCTGACCAGTCCAGCTACCATCCAGGTCCACAACTATGGCTATGAATTAGCCCACCGCAACATCCACCTCATATGAACAGTCAGAGCATGTGAAGGGGATGAACCTACAGATCTAAAACTGCAGGAAGTCCACAACACAGGACAACAGGATATTCAGGAGCCCCAAGTGAGAGCCCATCATTGATGGTGTAACAGAAGCCAGAGGCTTAGAACTCATTACAATCAACACTTGAAAGTGAAGAGGAAAGGACCAGAGGGTGAACTATGTGAAGCACTGGGCCACACCACAGCCTCCATGACAGGATTCTTCTTTTCTTTTCTTTCTTTCTGATTTTTTTTTAGTTTGATTTTTAGTTTTTCTTTTAAATTTTATTTTGTTTGTGGGGAGATTGCAAGGGCAGAGGTCAAAGGCAGGGGGCAGGGAGATGGATAGAACTGAGATGCATAATTTGAAATTCACAAATAATCAATAAAAGTTAAAAAAAAAAAGCATCCCAAATATATTTTATTTTGGAAAGTAGTTCTGAGCACTGTGTTACAGATCTCCTATTTCCAAAAGCAGTAAAACAACTTAATCTTCCAAGGTAAAGATTCTGTGTTAATAGTGATTGAGAAAAGGTGTGTATATTCTGAGCAAATCATTCCATGGGAACAGTATTTCTAGTGGATATTTGGTAGTATTTTCATTGTGTGTTCATTTAAAAATATTATACATCCATAAAACCTTTAAACTAAAAAAAATCATTCAGTTTAAAATATTTTCCATAAATGGTTTCATTTAGATCTTAGGTTTTTGGATCTTACTCTAAATATGAAATGGTAGGCATAGTTTTAGAAATTTATTTTCTATGTCAGTCTTGCCTGGACTTCCATTTTACTTTGCTGTTCATGATTTCATTTGCTCATTTTATACAATATTTATTTGTTTATTTACTTAAATATTTTAAATATTTTCTTTGAATTAGGAGTTATTCTCCCAGCTATTAGCCTATTTGACATTTGAGTCATTTATTTGGAAAGGTGAAATTAAATGGTAAAAGAAAAAGAAACCTGACAAAAGGTCTCATCCTTTACTTTCATCTATTACAGCAAAACTTCATGCACTCTTCTAAGATTTCCAAGACATAAGATCAAAACCTTTAATTGACCATGAGACTCTTGGCATATAAACCTAAAGCATGTTTTATATCTTAGGTGCAGCTAAAAATAAGAAAATAACTTATCACTGCCTTCAGCTGACTCAGTTCTTGGGCCATCTGGAGTACTTTAACCAACAGGGAAGAAGAGTTTTATTACTTTCCTTGAGGCAGAGGACAGAATTTTCAGCTGATAATGAAATCTACTAGACTTCATAAAGCTTGATACCATTATTTTCTTTCTTACAAATGGCAAGCTCAAAAGTGCTCAAACATAGGATCGCTTTAGTTGAAGGAAATAAAGAAACAAACAGTATATCAATAAGACAACAGCTACAATAAATAGAAATAACATACTGTTTATCTTCTTTGCTCATCTAATAATAGTATTATTATTATTAATAGTAGTAGTAATAAAGATACAATCAATTTATATGTTATATGCTTTCATTCAACAAATATATTTTTATTTCTAGATTTCATCATTATCATCATCATTAGTGTGTATGTGTGTGTTTGTGTGTGTGTGTGTGTGTGTGTGTGTGTGTGTGTGTGTGTGTGTATGTGTGTGTATAATGTATGTTTGTGAGTGAAGGTGTGTTGCTGGAGGGCTTCTCTCCAGGTTCCACCAAGCCCCGCAGTCCCACAATCCACGTATAAAATAATCACTCAGATGCTTATATCACTTATAAACTGTATGGCCATGGCAGGCTTCTTGCTAACTGTTCTTATATCTTAAATTATCCCATTTTTATAAATCTATACCTTGCCACGTGGCTGGTGGCTTACCGGCGTCTTTACATGCTGCTTGTCCTGGCGGTGGCTACAGTGTCTCTCCTCCTTCTTCCTGTTTCCCCAATTCTCCTCTCTCCTTGTCCCGCCTATACTTCCTGTCTGGTCACTGGCCATCAGTGTTTTATTTATATAGAGCAATATCCACAGCAAAGGTGTATAGACACCCCACTGCAAATGTGGAGGTCAGAGAACAATTTTTGGTAGTCAATGCTCTCCTATGCTGTTTTGAGGCAGGCTATCTCTTGTTCCTATGTTTCACTCTCAAAGACAAGTTTCCAGATGTTTTTCTCTGCCTACTATCTCACTTTAGGAGTTCTGAGATTACAGATAAATGCCACTTTATGTGGAATCTAAGGAATGAACCCGGATTGTCAGACTAGTTAATCCAGTATTTGTAGTCATTGAGCCATCTTGCTAGCCAGTACCCATCATTTTTTTTTATTGTATGTCTGACACATCAAAATAACCAAGTGGTCTATTTTAATGGTGTTTACCTTTTCTCTCTTTGTGAATCATCTTTTCTTAAATGTCATACCCCACCACCATTATTTGGGAGGCAAGCAAAGGAGACAAGATTATATAGATTATTTCCATTAAAAGACAAATGGGAAAACAGAGTTTAATGGTATATGTGTGAGTCAGAAATAAGATAATGCAAACAACTGATAAACCTTAAAGAGATGGAAACAACTAGTGCTTGGTTTGAGAGGGTATCCACTTAGCAAATGTCTTATAGTCTAGATGAATATCTTTGCAAAATAAGATCTAATTTAGCTCAACTTAGTTGTTACTTTTTTCCTCTTTATTCTGTCTTGCACTAAATGATGACAGAGAGGCAGTAGATGCAATTTTAAAATGTTTAAATGGGAAGTGATGATAGTGAATACTAATAAAAACTGTGCACATTAACCGTTGAAGGACTATCTAAGCTAGTACCAGCACGTCCATTTTTAATGCATACCAGAAATCTGAAATGACGTAACATTTCTGAGCGTACAGTGTTTATAAATGTCAGGGCTTGCTCTCAGATTTATATGACTTCAAAGTTAAACAGATTTGAAGTTCCTCATGTATTGTCATTAGTTTTAAACATGGTGGTGACTTGGAGACATTATTACTTACAGAGGTAGAAGTCAGATAGAGGAGGTCAGTAAGTCTTTAGAAAAAAATAGATTGCACATATAGTACAGTGGGAAAATGAACCAGTAGGAACAATGGGAAAGTAAGAGGTTCTAGAGTGAAGAGAAAATCAGTACTAGGATCGTTTTGAACCTATATAGAAAAATCAGATGATCACAAGACTTCACACAACTACCAAAGATTCAAAATACATTTATCACCTGTGTTGTATAAGTAAAATTTTATTTGAAATCATATAAGTTTATTTAGTTTTAAATAATCAGTGGTTACTTTTGTTTTACATTAAAAAATGATAATGTTGAATTGATCAAACTGACCTGCAGTGCTTGGTAAAATAAAGATATCTATTATCTGACGCCTTATATAAAGGGATAATAAATAACCTTTGGATTAAGTAATAGAAAGGATAAGATTTTACATTCAAATGTGAAGCGAGAATACTAGGATTGATGCGCGCGCACACACACACACACACACACACACACACACACACACATATATGTTTCTATGTTATGGGAGACTCTCCTTTTGTTTCTAATTTATTTAAAGATACTTGTAGAATAAATTTAAAAACATAGTTAATGCTATAAAAGTTGATTAATAAAATAAAAAAGGTCCTAAAATAATCACATGGAAATACATGATAGTTTTCTTCATAGCTCTTTATTGAACAGATTCTATACATGACAGCAAATTGTATATACTACAATCATTTTTGAGGAATATTTTTTAAATATATAATAATTAGTCTCTATGAAATATATATATTCCATGCTGATATGTCTTTGGTAAATAAAACACATTTACCTAAGGCATTTTTTCTAACTCCTATTCATAGTCTAATCAGTCTAGTGAGTCTCATTTCCTTAAATGTTTAAAATGGACCGAGAAAAACATGTAAACTTGGTACTTTTGCACTAGTCCTTAGAAACAAGGAAATAATGTAAGAAATACAGTCTTCTTTTATGATTGTCAAAGTTAAAATCAGATCATTTTACCATTTAAATGATCAAACTTTGTAAATTTCACCTACATGTTGACATTTGAAATTATTGAAACACATCATATAGTTATTGCTCTCATATGACTTCTTTGTAGTCTGTGGATCTCATGATATACTTTCCAGTCCTTTTGTTGCTTATGTTGCTCTTTCTCTGCTTTTGACACAGGTTGTTACTCTGCAGCCCAGAGTGTATTGTCACTACGGGTTTTTTTTTTTTTATAGCTCAAAATGGTTTTGATCTTATAACAACCTCTCTGTGTCAGCCTGAGTCCTATTTCAGAACAGTAAAGAATGATTGGCTACTGAAAATCAATCTCTCTCTCTCTCTCTCTCTCTCTCTCTCTCTCTCTCTCTCTCTCTCTCGGCAATAAATTGTGTGTGTGTGTGTGTGTGTGTGTGTGTGTGTGTGGTGTGAATACTTATTTGTCAACAAACAAATTAAGAATTAAATAATTGCCAGCCAAGGACATACATGAACAATGTTGGGTGGCCTCATGTTGTTTGCAGATTAAGGTTGAGGTTGAATTGGTAAATGCTGAATGTTCCTTAAGTTCTTCTGCATGGAATTTTATTGGCACTTGCTCTGTTGTATAAAGCTGGAAAGTTTGATTAGTTCTCAACCTGTGGGTTGTGACCCCTTTTAGGGGATAAATGACCCTTTCACAGAGATGCCTAAGACCATTGAAAAACACAGATAATTACCTTATGATACATAACAATAGCAATTTTACAGTTATGAAGTAGCAGTGAAAATAATTTTATAGTTGGGAGTAACCACAACATGATGAACTGTATAAAAGGTGACAGCATTGGAAATGTTGAGAACCAGTGGGTTTGTAAGTTTGCGGAAAAGAGGCAGCTAGTTATAAGTCATTGCAGGCTGTTTGAAAAGATTGGGCTTAATAAAATATTGAGGTGACGATCACTCGCAATAGTAATAGATTATGTTATCTAGCATTTTGTACGAGGCCTCACTGTAGGTCTTTCTCTGGTTGCATTTGTCAAATCTTGATATATGTGACTTTTTTTGAAGCAGGTACTTTTTGTATTATTCTATTAAATTATTCTTGATCCTTCTCATAAAAAATCATTTTTTTATGTGATGTTTGTTGTTTTTGTTGTTTAGGACAGTTTTCCTACATGATGATTCCTTCCCATTCTCAGTTGTATGGAATGTGTTCTATCATGTTGTGAATTATAATAGCTGACAAAATAATTCTCAAGAAGAGGACAAGAAAGTAGGAAATAAATGCATAAATGGCAGACCAAATAATTAAATGTATACTGAATGATATAAAAATAGGCTTAAACAAATTGAGTAAAAAAGCATACATACATGCAGGTTTCACATAAATATAAGTATGTGCATGCATTCCCAAACACAATGTTGTAAATGAAGTCACCTTTAAAATCATAAGTGAAGGCATGTGCTTTTCAAGGTAATAATCACTAACTAAACCAAACAATTTAAAATAGAAATATTTGCTAATTCCCTTTTTGCTATACCTTCTATTAAGTACAGTAGCATATATATATATATATATATATATATATGTGTGTGTGTGTGTGTGTGTGTGTGAGATAGATAGATAGATAGATAGATAGATAGATAGATAGATAGATAGATAGATAGATAGATAGATAGATAGAGAGATAGAGAGATAGATAGATATCCACCTTTTCACACAACTTTGCTTTTAGTAGTTTTACCTATGTATGCTGAATTTTAATCTGAGATATATTGAATGGAAATTTTTCAGAAATAAATCATTCCTAAGATTTGAAATTAAACTCTGCATTGAGTAGCGTGATCAAATCTAGCACTGTTCTTTTCCATCCCATCTAAGACGTGAGTTACTTCTTTGTAAAGGTTATCCATGCACTACCCCTTCATTACTCATTTAATGGACAATGTATATATCAGAGTCACTGTTACATCACATTACTCGTACTCAAGTAAATCTTATGATGTAGACAAAACTGCCACAATGTGTACATCATGCACCATGCTTCATCTCATCAAGCAAACAGTGCATAATTTCACAGCATCACAAGAAGAATATGTACAGTACGAGATGATACTGAAAGAGCACACACTCATGTAAATTTAAAAGTATGTTGTTATGGCTGTTCTACTTTGTTATTGCTAGTTTTACTTTTACTTTTTCTATTCATTGTTTACAAATTAACACTTCAAGTTATATTTATATGTACAGAGAGAGAGAGA